GGAGACATTAATGGGAATGTGAAACACTGTACGTTTGTTATTTCATTCCTTATAGATTTAAATTTGTGATTTTTGTGACTTAAAACTTGCATTAAGACTTGTGTACTTCATACCATAATTTATAAACAGAAGAGTGGTGGGTATGACTCACAACATTCTTTCCCAGAACTGTTTATCAATCATTAAATCATTTGGGGGTGACTACCATTCAACGTATAAATAGAAAACCATGTCTTCTGCACAGGCCAATGACCACAAATTCTTATCCAAGATGCCATCACTACTGCTGGTACCATTTTGCAAATAGGGTCCATCCATTTGGCCCTCATCATACAGAAGACACTAAAAAAAAGTATACTGTGTTTTAAGAATGAGAAAAAAATTATATTAGATTTGTAATACTCAAATCACGTTTGACTTCTCAATTACAAGAGGTGCTCGAGGTGATTTGATTTCCACTTTTGTTATTGGTAAATATTGGGTATTACAATTTTTTTTTTTTCAATTTTTGGCCGGGGCTGGGTTTGAACCCGCCACCTCCAGCATATGGGGCTGGCGCCCCACACCTTTGAGTCACAGGCACTGTCCCGGGTATTACAATTTTAATACAGTCTTTTTTCCTAAAATGTGTCTGTGTGTTTTTTGGCACCCTCTGTCTCTAACCAAAGATCGCAGACCACCTGCAGAGGTAGAAACCATGTGGGAGTAGGGGTGATGGGGTAGGATAGTGGGGGAAGGGAGCCCTGGAACCTGTTTCCAAGGAAAAACATATTACTTCTCCAAGTAGAATAAAGAGAAAATTCTCACGTGCTGCTGCATTTATCTAGAAAGCTAGACTCCCAATAGCCAACGTCACTTGCCCTTAGCCTTGTCTTTCTGCTATCTGAACCACAAAACAGAAACACAAACGTAAGACACCCAGATACACCCCTGGCTTTGTACTTTAGCTGTGCACCAGGACTGCCGCATTTGAATACTTTTCAGACTGTTCTAAGAAATGCCTACACACCTACAAGTTCTGATTAAGCTATTTACAAGTAATACTGCTAAGGATATCACATCCTACCTAATTTGCTTAAAAAAGTAAAGAGAAAGAAAGAGACTAATTTTAAAATCTTTAACCGTGTTCCCCTGTTCTTAAAATTTTTAAAAAATGACATAAAAGTAACATTATTGGTTTCAAATAATCAGATCCAGGAGGCACAGCAGGTCATTCACAAAGTGTTTTTAAAAAGCTAACACTCTTAAAGCTATGAGTCTTCTCAAACACACGGCGTATAACAGTGGTGTGATGAAGGTTGGATCAAGAACCGACATCGTGGCTCGGCGCCTATAGCTCAACCGGCTAAGGCGCCAGCCACGTACATCTAAGGTGGCGGGTTCGAATCCCCAGCCCGGACCCGCCAAACAACAATAATGGCTGCAACCAAAAAATAGCCGGGCGTTGTGGCGGGCGCCTGTGGTCCCAGCTACTTGGGAGGCAGAGGCAGGAGACTCGCTTGAGCCCAGGAGTTGGAGGTTGCTATGAGCTGTAATGCCATGGCACTCTACCCAGGGGGACAGCTTGAGGCTCTGTCTCAAAAAAAAAAAAAAAAAAAAAAAAAGAACCGACATCGAACAAAACAAAAAGGCTTAATTTATGTTGAATAAATTATTCTCAGTTCATTTTGAGAAGCAAATTTCCCAAAGGACTGGGGTTTGGGATTAGATAGGACCCAACCCTGTCCAGGTGTCAAGAGGTTACAAAACCCTGTTCAAAGATGTGTTTACACTCTCTATATGATGGTGTGTTGCTCTCCTTCATAGACATCCATGGTATAAACATACCTACCATGGGAGATTGTTAGCTACCAGCATGATGTCATGGAACATGGAGCTGGAGAGAGCTGTGTAGTACCCCTGGTGTTAGCACCATGCCCATTCCACAGGTGTAAATAATCTCAAAATCAAAGATCATAACATAGTAAAAATAATTACGAAGTGAGGAATTTTGAGCCTTCCCTTTATAAGATAACTTATTTCAGTTTTAGTAAGGGCTATGTTTAACAACAAGGACAAGTGGCTCTTCCAAGCCAAATGTGGGCTGCCTCTCGCAAGCCACTGATGCTAGGTACACAGAAAAGCGTAGCCGGACGAGATTTTCATACCAGCCATTCTTAAACACTGGGGAGAATATCTGCCTAAGTTTAAGAAAAAAAACAAAAACAAAACAAAACATAAAAACCATCAGCCCCTGTATCTGAACACAGAATTTGATTTTCAAGGCGATAGGGAGTCAACTCCAGTATCACAAAGCTGACTTTGGTTACAAGTGACAGACAGAGGCTGCAGGTTTAGATCTAGAGCAAACATCACGTGGTGTTTGGCAGGACTTTTAACAGGAACAGAGCTGCGTTCTGTTGCTCTCCAGGGTCCTCTGGAGACACTACACGTTTTCCCCCATGCTCTCCACTCCTCTGATCCCAAATGGAAAAGCTCTACGGTAGACCTCTCTTCTGGAGCAAGTTACAGAAAAAGATCACTTATGATTAACATGTCTCTAAGACACTAGAAGTTTACTTTTTAATCCATGTCAAGAACAGAGAACTGTACCCATCAGATACATGTTGGTGATGAATGAGAACTCACAAGCCATGAGCGTTCACGGGGACATCAGGAGAGGCCCCGGAGGGACAGGGCCACAGCTCTCAGGGAAGTTCCTTCCCATCCTTATTCTCTAATTTGAAGACGACAGTGGTATAAATTCCTTAACTTTTAACTGATAGGCAGCAGCCTTATTTCTGTGCATTATGCACATGTCAGTTTATGAGCTGTTCGGGTACATGAACTCCCCTGGCTAACACAAGGACTGAAGCACAGTGCCAGTTCCAGTGATTTCACCCTGTAAGATTCTTAGACAGGGAACGTAATGAAGAGAGATGATCTGACGGAAAATGCATTCAGAAGGAACAGTACATAAATAAGAAAAACTCTCACAGAAAACTATGCAAACCCCAGCGTTCAGAAGTGCTGGGAGAGAGAAATCCAATTCTATTTAAATTAAAGAAAACAGAGCTAACGGGCCAGATTTGGTGCCGGTGTAAAGCGTGCAGCCTCTGCCCTCCTGCCTTGCACTTGGCTTGACCAGACGGCTACAGAACACATCTGCTGTGCTGTGTACCCTTCGGGCTGGGCCACGATTCCAGGACTTTCCGGGCCCGACTTAATCTGTGACTCCCTGAGTTATTGAGGTCAGCCTCAGAATTGTAAATCAAACAATTCTATGAAAATGAGAACGCTTGCTCCCCATTTTGCAATTAAAACAGAAAGTTAAAACGAAGGAATTCGTAATACAAGATAACTCTGCCTCTTGCAAAGTCAAGGGGGCTGTGCTGTATGTTTTCAATTTTAAACCATCATCTTGATATGTTTAGGGGTTTAATTTATGGAACAATCAAGCAATCTTTATATTTAACATTAAATGCCTGAATATGATAAATCCCCGTCCATGAACATTTATGGGAGAGTTTCGGGGCAACTTTTGAACAACGTGTCACTTTTATTGTATAGCAATGATTTGCAAAAAAAAAAAAAAAAAAATGATATGCTAAGTCCTAGAGTATAATTTAGGGACACAAAAACAACTGTCAAGAGACAGCCAGAGACTACATTTAATGAAATCTTTACAGACTGAAGTAATAAGTATTAAATTAATCAACACAGCTTAATTGAAGGCCTATTTGTAACTTTTTTTTATGAGACTTGTTATTAACGAACCCTTAAATGCTACCACTAACTTGAGCTGCACGTTAAATTTAAATAATGAACCATTGTTCACACACACAAAAAGGAACAAACAGTGCGTTAATAGCCCTTTGTCTCCCTGGGCCTTTCACTCCTATGCACAGCTAAGATGTAGACGTGTCCCTCCTTCCTCCCCACAGTTATTCACACGGTTGGCAAGATACCACCATTAAGGCTGCTCAAATGGCCTGAAATACCGCAAGTGAAATCCTTAAGAAAGTAAAAAATGTAGCAGCTGGAAATTATACATGACTTTTCAGCTGACCTCAAAAGATAATGTTTTCAAATCTGTGCTTTCGGTCCTTTTTATTTACTCGTTTATCTGTTGTTGTTTAGAGGTGGGGGTCTTGCTATGCTGCCCAGGCTGGACTCAACCCCCTGGACTCATGTGATCCTCCCACCTCAGACTTCCAAGTAGCTGGGACTCTGGGTGTGTGCACCACCACCCAGCTCTCAGCATTTCTGTGACTCTCTCACTCCCGTGTAGCTGGGACCCTGGGTGTGTGCACCACTACCCAGCTTTCAGCCTTTCTGTGACTCTCTCACTGGAGTGTAGCTGGGACTCTGGGTGTGTGCACCACTACCTAGCTTTCAGCATTTCTGTGACTCTCTCACTCGCCTGTAGCTGGGACTCTGGGTGTGTGCACCACCACCCGGCTTTCAGCATTTCTGTGACTCTCTCACTCGCCTGTAGCTGGGACTCTGGGTGTGTGCACCACCACTCAGCTTTCAGCATTTCTGTGACTCTCTC